CCTCTGTTGATCCCCAATTTCTCACCTGATGGCCCCCCTGCGACTGTGCCTGTCTTAGGTTGTTCCTCCCTTGAGGAATCTTACCCGTCTCTGGCTAACCAGTCATCTTCCGGGGCCATACAGGGAGATGTAAAGTTGGTAAGTGAGAGAGAAGCAATACATAAATACATTTCCTCGAATAAATCTGCCGATGACCCGCGCGCGGACTTAATGGCTCAGCCAAGTGGTTTGCCCTAAATGCTGCAAAAGGCTCCGCCGAGTGTCCATCCCCGTCAGGGGCTCTCTGATGAAGAAATACAATTGGCAGTTCCCTTTTTGGAATGATCGCACAAAATGAGAATAAGAAATGGGGGAAAAACCTGGCAGGAGCAAGCATTTATTATCTAGCCAGTTGCCTGTATGAAATCATAATGATTGCTTCAGGATAAAATGGGCCACAATTCAAGACCCAGACAAGGGCTGCTACAAATATTTTTGAGATAACGAAAGGAAAAAACAAGTTTTCTCTCAGATACACTGTAAAGATGATATGTGCTGGTTTGTTAACCCTTCGACGGGTCAGCATGTTTCAAATCCTTTGGGGCCTCCCCTGGGCTTTTAGGATAAAGTTTAAATTCCTTAGGATAGCAGAAAATACTCTGCATGGTGTGGCTGCGTCCTCTCTGCCACCAGGAGTCGTCTACATCCTGCTCTAATCTTACAAACCACCAGCAAATGTCTTTCATTCTCTGCGCTCCCCTTTCCTACCCACCCCTGTCTTTCTTCACCTAGTGAAATTCCACGTGTCATTAGGAATTCAGTGAACAGGCCACCCCCTCTGCGGAGTCTTCCTGGAGTCCCTTCCCCCGCCCATCACCAATGCGGATGTCTGTCCGCATTGCTCCCCAGGCACCGATGGACCTCTGATCACCCTGTGTGGTTTTGTTGTCCACCTTCCAGTCAGCAGAGAGGGAGGGCTGTGTCCCTGGTGGGGGACCATATTAGGTGCTTGAGAAACATCTAACTAAGAAGAGACAGCATGTACCCGGCACTGTTGGTACGCCCTTTATGTGCCTTTGCTCTCTCAGGCCTCCCAGCAGCCTGTGGGGTGGGGACGTAACAGCTGCACGTCACAGGGGAGGACACCAAGGCACACGGGGTTTGTTGTATAGCTGATCAGTCACGCAGCCAGTAAGTGGCGGGGTCGGGATTCGAACCGAGCTGAGTGACTAAATGGATAAACGCATACCTGAGGGGGAGATGTCTGGTGGTATTCTTGAGAGTGGAGGAGGGGAATCCAGCCAGTTCTCTGGTCACACACGGAGCCTGGTCCCTTGATGCCATGTGCCCTCCTGGGGCCCTGGGGCCGGTGCGGAGGGCCTCGAGGTGAAGGAACTGCTCTTTCCCTTTGACAGCCTCTTGCTCCTTTAACTTCTTGCCAATGTGTTCCTTTTGAGGGGAAAGAGTTACAGATTACAGGGGTGCATACAGATGATTTCATCTTCTTAGGCTGTAAATGCTAAGCCTCTCCTTGCCTTTATTACTGCTGCTCAGACATTAACATTTCAGAGAAAATGCCCCCTCGCCCTCGCCCAGACGTTCTTCGGACTGAAACTGGCAGGGATCCCTCCCACAGGCCCTGGCATCCCAGGCATCCCAGCCACAACTTCTCAGTGGCTCTCTAACTGCCCCTCCCATCCTTCAGATCCAGGCAGGCATGGAGCAAGAGGTGGTCAAGGGGAACGGCAGCCACCGGCCCTGGCTGAGTGGTAGCTGGGCTGCAGCCGTTGTCCTCAGAGAGGATGGGTCTGGGAAGGACAGACCTGCAGACCATGCCCTTTGGACATCTCTGGGGCCTCAGCCCCCTCTGCGGGGCCCCACTTGGGGCTTCAGGAGGCCCTTGGTGAGCATGTGTTTGCCTGTGGAAGGGAAGAAGGAAGGAGGAAGGAGACACTGGGAGGATGCACAGCCTCGGGTACTAAAGACGCAGCATGAGGTCAGACGTGAGGACAGAAGAGCCAGGGGTCGCGGTTAGCGCAAGACAGACTCACTTCTGAGGGTGGGGGGCTCTTCGGGATGCTGTGTTTTGTTTTCAACTTTTATGTCAACATCTTCTCTTTCTCATAAACCTATGACCTTTATGTCTTGCATGTGGATTTTCCTGTCTGCAGGCCTTGGATTTTGTGGGTGAACAAATTGCTACATTGGGATTTTAAACAGCCCTGCACGGTCCCATGGAGGCTTCGAGTCAGACCCCTGGGCCACACCTCTTTGCTGTCCTCACCCTCAAGGTTCCTATCTGCTCACAATGCCACTGGAAACATGCAGTGAGTTTATGATAGGTATAATTTTAGGCAGATTGTTTTTTAAAAAACAGAATAATCCTGAGATTTCAGAAAGGGTTCTGGAATTTGTTCACTGTAATTCAGTTCCCACAATCTCCCCACAAAGTCAATGAGATGATACCTAAGGATTGTTCAGTTGCTCACTTATTATTTTATTCTCACTATTTATGCCTACATAGATATGATGGCAAACCTGAACTCTGATTATTTTATCACAGTGAAGTCAACTCAATGAGAGACCTCATGGCTGAGACTCAGAAAATATCATAACTCACTCAAGATGAGGTCAGTGTCAAGGAGTAAACCACAAACTCTATAGTTTCGACAACCTCACAAATACAGTGACATCCGTTTTCAGACATGTCCCCAATCAGTTCTTCCAAACAATGCATGCTCTATTTGAAAGGTCTGCCGCTTTAATCTCAGACAATAATGGCCATTCACGTCCTCAAGTGCGCAGCCACCCTCCCCTCTCTACTACATTTCCTTAATTGGAATCACCCTCTCATTGACCTAAACCATTCGTCACAAACTATTTCAGACAAGCTCCTGATAACCCTGTAGAAGAGGTGGCACTGTTTTTCTGTCGTTTAAGATGCTTTCCCACTCCAGGAAACTCTACTCACAGCTCAGAAAGTGAATTTCTTTTGTTCTCACATCCATGAAGCGCAGATTTGCATTTGGTGCACAACCTGGAACCACTCAATCTTTGAGTTTCCTTATTTATCCAACGAGGCTCATTAGAGCCCGTGCTAGAAAACAGGCATTCTCCGACACTCCTGATGGGAGTGTGAGCTCATATAATGCTTCTGGAGAGCGATTTTGTACCATGCATTAATCACAAGGCCAGCCCAAGGCACCTGGCAGAGCAGAGGCCAGGAGAATAAAGGCTCCCCTCAATCCCCCTGATCTTGGCTTAGGCTCCGATTGGCTGAGCTAAAAACAACAGCAAAGGCAATGGGCATTGTGGGTGGCGGTCACACAGGACAGAGGGCAGATGTGAAAGGGCAGAGAGTGGCGAGCAGTCCGGAGGGGCTGTGTATTTGTTTCCTGCGGTTGCCATGGCAAATTGCCACAAACTTGGTGGCTTGAAACACACATTTATTCTCTCACAGTTCTAGAAGCCAGAAGTCTAAAATCAAGGGGTCTGCAAGGCTGGTTCCTCCTGGCGGCTCTGAGGGCAAATCTGTTCTGTGCCTCCCTCCTCAGTTCTGGTGGCTTCCACCAGATCCTGGCTTGTAGGCACGTCACTCACACGTAACCTTCTGTCACCTGTGGCCCTCTCCTCTGGGTTTCCTACCATCTTGTTGCTGGATTTAGGGCTGTCTTGCCTGAGGGTTTCAGCCCCAGGCAAGTTCACTATGGATTCAGTGAGACAGAGAAATAACAATAGAACTTTCTTGGGGTAAAAGGGTTTGTACCTGCCTTTATTCTCCCCGCGGTGGGTCGAGCACTAGGATCATGTCTGCATCCAGCAGTCTGCAGACCCATAATCCTCCTCCACCTCTGCCTCCACCCAGAGCACTGGGCAGAGCTCTTTATATAGTGACTCAGTCAATAATAGCTTATTGCCAGTTACATCATCAGGTAGCTTAGGGGCAGGTGAGGATCCTGGCCAAAGGAACTTCCATTTTCCCAAAAGGGCCCACCCAAATAATCCAGGACGACTGGTATCAAAATCCTTAATTCGATCACATCTGTAAGACCCTTTTCCCAAATAAGGTCACATTTACAGGTTCTGGATGGACATCTCTTTTTTGGTGGTGGTGGTGGTGGGGCACCATTCCACTGACTACAAGCAGACAGATGCCATCTGGCACAACCATGGAAACATATTCATGCAAACTCATAGGTATAGGGCCAACAGAGCAAGAAAAACAGTAAGTGTGGTCTTGTCCTTTTTTTTTTTTTGGTAAGAAAGCCATGTCTGTGTGTCTCTAAGTATAAAATAATAATGCCAAACGTACACTGGAAGTGTTCGGAATGGCTCTTGCTCTGTGGTCAGATTACAGATGAATTTTCTTTGTTACTAAAAAGTAAATAAGTACTGACAATTTCTACGTTTAAAAAAAGATGCTGTATTTCTTTTGGAATATGAAAGAGGGAACATCTTAAGACCAAAAGAGAGAGAGAGAGAGAGAAAGAAAAGGAGAAAAAAGGCTGAATGATTGATACCTGATGTTATTTATGAACTGCATGGAGGAATGGAAAGTTTGCCCACATATAAATACGAGGAAGCGCCAAGTGCGGTCAGGTTGCATATAATATAATTTGACCTGTGCTTCTCTCCTGATAACACTGAAAGGAAAAGGGCATCCATGCTTCATTTTTAAAGCCCAAAAGCAGTCTTCCTGTCTTCTGTGGGATCTTCAACCACTGGCTTCTGTCCCAACACAACAAAGAAAAAAGGCCACGTCTTGGCTTTGCGAGAATGGGTTTAATTGTACTTGCTTACACAAGCCAAAGCTGGGGCTGTGAGTCACCGTGTCTACACGTGTCACCTGGCCACTGGGTCTGCTCCTGGACAAGGGGCTCTGGTGCTGAGTGTACCTCTGGAGATGAGGGGCCCCAGCCCTTTGCTCCATGTCCCAGGGCATATACTGCTCTGTAAACAACTGCTCCTCATCAAACTCTGGTCTACTGCTCCTTCTGGTGCCCCTTCACAATGTGTCCGACTATCTTTAGGCAACCATCTTTTATAGGTTGCTAAACTGATGAAAAGTTCTGCTTTTCATTTCTTCCATTTTGGGGACTGGTAGAGGAATTGTCCTATGATTTGCAAGATGGTCAAGGGAAGGATTTTTTTTTTTTTTTTTTTTTTGCTTTTGCACGGCTTGAAGACTAGAGAAGCTGGGGAAACCTCACGCACTAAAGAAATCGGTACAAATGTGAGGCCCCCAAAGCTGGAGTGTCTCTGAGCAGGAGAAATGAAAAAGGGTGGAGTTTTGAGCCGTAGGTGGAATTTGAAACCCCCTGTGATCTATTTTATCTATGTGGCCATGCAGAAGTTACTGAAAACCATCATAATGGATACAAGTATTTCATTACCCATTAGAAGAGGAAGGCATTCAGGGGTTATTTTTTTTTTTTAAACTGTTTTTCTACTATACTATGTATAAAGGAAAAGAAAAGGTTTTCAGTAGTTATCTGAGCAGGAATTCCATTTGCCTTGCAAACTGGAAGTCCCTGTGTAGTGGGTGAATGATGGGCTCCCACAAAACATGTTCATGCAGAACCTGTGCATGAGACCTTATTTGAAAAATGGACTTTGTAGTTGTAACTAAGTTAAGGATCTTGACAGGAGGTCATCCTGGCTTCTCCGACAGGCCCTTCTCTGTCCCTGGCCTAGGCCCCTCCTGACTGGGAAGCAAAGAAATCAAGGCTATCACGTGGATCTTCGGACTTCTAGGTGCATGTTCTTGCCGTCAGGAAGAGTGGCTATTTCAATTCATCTCATATGCCAGGAGCCGGTTATATAAAAGATATCATCAAAAAGCTGCTAGTAACAAACTAAAAAACTGTATTAAAAATGGACACAAGACTGCCATCTTCCGTGTGCTTCCCTGGCATGCTAACACATGGATGTCACCGCGTGTGATCTTGCTGGCATGTGTCTGAAAGCCTTTATGAAGTCACCTCCAAACGGAAGGGCTGTCTTGGTGAATTCATTTAGAATTAATATAATAAAGGAAAGCAGATTATGATACTGAATCATGAAGAAGGTCAGGAAGCCACGCACTCAGTTCCCTGACTACCGTGCGGATGCCCAAGGATGGCGTGTATTCGAGGTCTTCAGAGGGAGGGAGGCCCAGGTCAGGCCTGAGCACCATCGCAGACCCGGTGTCCGCACAGTGTGGTTCCTGCCCGTGGCCCTAAGGCTTCTTTGCTCCCAAGTTTGGGCTGTTTCCCTTCCAACGAGACACACACATATCTCTGCATTTTAAAAATGTGTTTTGGAAATGATGAACTTGACTACACAAAGAAAGGAACCAATGAACATTGAAATGAGGCTCATAATGTTTGTAGAATACATCTGTACTTCAAAACATGTATTACACTCAGCATGTGCCTGCTGCCTTTACATCCTGTCGTTGCTCAGACACTCAGATCTGAATGCATCGAGGTGGTCCCTGTACTTGCTGTTAACGGCCATCGTTTGTTTAGCCATTTGCCCTCTTGTGTGCGTCTGGCTCGTTTCCAGTTTTATATGGTGTTAAATTGCAGCTACTGTGTATGTATTTGCACATATTAACTTTTCCTTTGGTATCATTTTCTTGTAGCATATTCCCCAAAGTGGAGTTACTGGGTCAAACAGTTCTGCAGCTCTTGTTATATATTGTCCAATTTTTCTCAAGAAAGAGAAGAACCACTATAAAGAGCCACCAGCAATGTATGAACGAGCTTATTTCCTTAAAGCCCTGCCAGCATTGTGCTTTATTCTTTAAAAACAAAACAAAACTGTGCTAGCTTAATAGACAGGAGATTGTTTTAAGTGACATTCCTGTCATTACAGTTTGAAATTCATCAGCTTGGCATGTGGCCAGGTGTCCCTAGGTCTGTGTCAGGATCCCAGCATGGAAGAATGCAAGCCATACTTGGGGATGAAAAAAGGGGTCACCTAAGAGGCAGCCCTGCCAGCACCCAGTTGGTGTTTCCTTTTTACACAGCAACTTCCGGGGAGGTTTGTACCATGCGTGGGAGGCCCATGAATGCAGACTCACCTCTTTGGTACCAGAGGTAAGACCCCCAAGAACTCTTTAGGGTGGCCTGGACTTGCCACCTCCCCCTTAAGAGGCCCTCCTCACCTTCCAGAAAGTGGTTGGGCCAGTGTGACAAGTTTGCTTTTTATGAAAAAAAGAAAAAAAAAAGTGGATTACAGTGATGTTCTGTTGGTAATCTGGGGAGCCACACAGGGATGGACATCAGCTCTGTGCCTGCTTCTTTCCTCTTGCAAAAAGATGCAATCGTGCCCGGCGTGCGCGCTGAGGCCGAGACCCCACTACATCCACCTACATCTTCCCTTGGCAGATGATAACCTTCCACCCAACCTAGAGCCGGTCGGCTGACTAAGCCCGGAGGTCCCAGAAGATGGAGGTGCAGTCAACCCCCAGGACACTCAGGCAGCTGCATGCTCAGTCCTGGGCACGTTCTTGATGGTGGAGATGCTCAGGGTCAGCCCAAGGTGATCCGGACTGGGGAGCCGTGGCTAACCCGTGGGACCACTTGCGTCTCAGCCTCTGGACCTGCCACCTCGTCTGCCTGGCTGCCTTCCCCCACCTCATTGCTTCTGCCAGTGCCTGTGATTTAGGCATCATCTCTTCCAGGGAGCTCGTTCCTGACCTCCACAGGTGACCTCTGCCCGGTCCACCTCACACGCCCCACTGGACCATGGTGGCTGGGACCAGCTTGGCCCACCGCATCTCCACTTCAGTATCTGATGCAAGGTTCATGTTGTTGAGGGAATGGCTGAGTGACACGGATAAATGTGGTGAGGAAAGGGTGAACTGAGTTGGATTTTCCACAGCAGGTCTTAAGATTCACCAACAAGAGTTTTGTTTTGTTTACTCAGGACCATTGCTTTCTCCATTGTTATTAAAGATTCAAGTCAGAGTGGCATGAATTCCACAGAAGTAAAATATATATCCTTTCCTTCTTGTAATGATTACAAAATCCACCCTTGCAAACGAAAATTTTGAATTATGCAAGGGGTCATAATTACTTTAATACTTCAGTCAAACACAGAAGATGGTGGGATACAGTTCAGATGGGGAAGCTGTATTCACAGTGTCTGATGGTTTGAGCTGGACCTTCAAGAAGGAAACATCAAGGCAAAATAAAGAACTCCAACCTGTAACCATGTGACACTGGCGAGGAATGAACTGTTTAAAGTTAATTTTACTCAAATCTGGCCCAACTTGCTGGCCTAGGCTCCAAAGCCATTTTCTTAACGACAACTTCCCGTATCGGCCTCTTTCCTGCTCTTCTGCAGCTGGTCCTCTCGCCCCTCTGATGTGTCCCCTCTGGTCTGCCCCTGGCCTATGGTGCGCCCCATGCTCGGCTGGTGTGTCAGCTGTTAGGCACATGCCTCCCTTACCAATAAGACTGTGTATTGTCTTTGAGGAGGGGCCACATCCTACTGCTCAGGGCATCACAGCACAAACACAGATCATTTCATTAGCCAGCAAGCAAATCCTTGAATGTGAGACGTTGCTTGTGGCACGTGCTCCAAACCAGAGGGGACCCTCTCTCTCCATCTTTGTGTGAGGCAGAGCCTGCCTGCTGCGCCACCTTCCACCTGGCCACGTCTCAGTGATGTCATGGAATGAATGGATGGCAGGAGAGCGGCAAGGCCACTTTGAAAGCCCCAGAGTTACCCTTCATCCATGGTGGCTCCTCATCCGGCCCAGGACAGGTGGAGCAGACATGGAAACACCTGGGAAGGTTTTTCTTCCCACTCTGAAATCTCAGATAAATCTCATCATTTTCCAAGCCCCACTCCCAAGTCCCTTTCCAAAGTCTCAAATCCTTCGTGTGGCATGACTTATCTGTCCGTAGTTAGTCAACAAACATTTATAAAGAGAGAGGGACAACAGACGCCCACGGATACGTCAGCACCGGGAGTGGCCGGGGGAAGCCGGGCAGGAGGAGCTTGGTGAACCGGACCAGGTGTCTGCACACTGGGGCTCCGTGAACTCCAAGAAGGGGGCTCTTGGAAATGGAAAATGGGAAAAGAACACCCTTCCTACTAACTTCTAACTAAAAAAATTAGCATTTCCTTTCATTATCATTATAATGTGAGCAACAAACCATAGTGGTTTAGCAGTGCCTGTAGGTTGACGCCAGCAGAAACCACAGGTATTTTCATACCACTTGCAGTTATTTCTGGATAGAATTATTTGCCAGCATTTGGAAACTATGGTGCTTGTTGTCCCTTGGCTAGCTCTTGTTATTTAATGAGTTAATACAAAAGCACATCTGCTACCATTAAAAAAATATTCTGATACTTGAATTTTCAGTATCATTGTCTTCCTTTGGCAACCTATGTATTTTACCTTTATTTATTCTATTTTATGCATTTAAAACTTTGTTCTGAAAAGGAACCCACAGGCCTCATGCAACTGCACAATGGGTCATTGACTCAAAAGCCCTGAACCCAGCCCTCCCTTGGTGGTGCCGCTGCTGCCTCTAGCCTAATGTGGCCTCTGGCTCTCACACATTCTGTTCCATCCACTTTGGTTGCCTGTTCCTCGTCTTTGTCCTGTTGGCTCCCACTGCGCTTTGGGCCTGAAACATGTCCCCCGACCCTGGGCAGCCTCCTAGACTGCGCGGCCCCTGCATACCCAACCCTCCGCAAACATTCGGTACTTGGTGCAGGAAGGAGTGTGTGGATGGAGGGATGGATGGATAACACAATTCAGGGCAGATGCAAAATACTTCACATTTGCAATCTCTTCAGTTTTTCACCTCTTAGAAATAAAATTTTCCTTCCAGCTAAGACTGATGGAAATCTGTGTGCTGATAGTATCTACCACCCTTTTCCCAAAGCAGGATCCCAGGATAACTTGGAAGAAACGTCGGGTCAGAGCCAGCCGCCCAGCCTCAGTGCCAGGTCGAGCAGGTGGACTGGTGGCCACAGGAATCATAGTCGATGACTGGGGTATCTGATCTCTTAATCTGCAGGTGAGTGAGACAGTCACACGAAACTGCCATGGATGGGGCAGCGGGAGAGAGGTGCAACCTGGGACGGAGCCATTCTCTGTGTCTGAGGAGAAAGAGCAGGTTTTACGCGCAGGCCAGCCAAGCCCAGCCTGCCTGCCAAGCCTCTTACGATGGCACGAACCCTAATTTTAGAAAACTTCAGCCACATGATGGCTTTTGAAAAGGGGCCTCATATCAGCAATCACACAACAAATAAGCTATAGGGGAAGTGCAGCTTCACGCCACCCACGATGCTGGGTATGAAGACAACATACAAAATAAAAACAGTAGCATTGATTGAGAGCCTTCTACATGCTCTGAGATTTCCCTAATTACCCCCAATCTTCATGGCCACCTTGTGACTATTGCTGTATTGTTACTATTGTCACTACTTACGGATTGGGAGACCGGGGCTCAGAGACCCCAGTGAGCTGTCTCAGGGCATGTAGGCTGAGACTCAGAGTTAGGGTTTGAATCCAGATCTTCCTGATTCCAGAGCCCAAACTTGTGCATTTCCCATAAATACATCTTTGATGAATGGAAAAGCCTCTTTTTCTTGGGGGAAAGATCTGTGCACAAATTCTGAGATGAGACCATTTTTATGAGTAGTAGGAGGGGATTTTCAAAGGCACTTTCTGTGGGCCTGGTGAAATAGCATCTCCCTAGGGAGCCCCTGGGACAGCTTTACTGGGTGGGCTGCACCCGGGGGGAGCAGTGTGGTTCCCCCACACCTCCTCGCTGGTAGCTGGGGACGTTGGCGGCCTTTAGTAGCAGGCTCTGAGCAGGAGCAGGTGTCTGAACGGATAACAAGGAATTTACGAACGAAAAGGCCAAAACGAAAAATCTTACCCAGATACCAGGATTTCCTTTGCACAGGGATTTAGGAGAGACGTCTTTTCGGATCCCTCAGCACACTGTTTGCAGGATGCTGGCACCCCACACCCTGTTGAGAAAAAAAAGAGCTTCATGTTGGGGGGACCATTCCTGGCAGCTGCAGGGGTGCTGAGATGGGAGCTCGGTGTGTGCCCGCCTCCCCAGACCCTCTCGCCAGCCCAGACTCGGCAGCTCAGGGCCAGGGGGCTGCTCAGGGTTGGGCAGCACCGGCGTGACTTTGGGGTGGAGCTGCCCATCCCCCAGTGCTGCAGGCCAGCTCTAAGGTCTCTGGGACACAGTCGGTGTGCAGATGGGTCCCCAGGAAGGCTCTCTGTTCTGGAAAGGTCTGGAAAGGTGTGATTTCCCAGGGGAACCTTCATTAATCTCATTGGATTCTGCGACCTTTCTACTGGTCCTCTTTCTTGTCTATCTCCTACTTGCAGGGCAAGGACGGTGCATGTCTTAGTACCTCTTTAAACCCAGGGCCAGCCTCAGGGCCTCACTCACAGTACCTGCTCAGTAAACATTTGAGCGACTGAATGACCGCGACCCAGCCTATTTTCCTATCGCCACCTCCTGTCATGCCCAGTTTCCAACCCATTCTCCCTCTGGCTGCTCGCTGGGATCTGGGAAGGGTCAGTGGGTCCAGTAGGAATTCTCCTACTCCCCCCAAAAGCCCCTCTGCTGTTGCAGTTTCTGACTTCACAGCCACAAAGCTGGCATCGGTGTCCGCGCCTTCCACCTCCCCTGCTCTCGGATGTACTCAGAGCCTGCCTCGGGTCTAGGGAGGAGGCGCTGGGCTAAGTGAAGGCTGAGGGTTAGCAGGGGAAGCTTCTAGACGAAGTGAGGAGGTCACTGTGACAATGGCCCAAGATGGTTTTTTGTTGCATGAGATGATTAAGGCCTGGACTTCGGTGTTAAGTTTGCGCTGAAATCTTGCTGCATGCGTGGCAGGCTAATTGGCTTCCTTAAGCCTCGGATTGCTTATCTGTTACATGGAGGCAGTAATAGTGCCTACATCATAGGGTTCTCATGAGGATAAGCAAGTTAACAGATGAAGCCCTTATCCTAGTGCCTGGCAAGCAGGAAGTGCTCCGTAAGTTCCAGGCCATTTTTATTATTATACTCTGCTCGGTTGCTGCACACAGGATGTTCCCTTCACTATTGAGACCTGAGAGGTCACATTATTTTTTTAAGCATTAGTCCTTTTAAGGCTTGGAATAAAATCTCAGCCGAGGCCTTAGAAGACAGAAACATCAGATAGATGAGGCTTTCAGAAGGCTTACTCCACCCACACACCCAGCTATGAAAAAGGGCTTTCAGACCTGCTGGGGGAAATGCACACATTTGTTCCACGCCAGCACAGGCATGGAGGGATCAAGTTAACACTGACTAGGTTTCCCTACTTCCTCTCTTAAACACCACAGCCTGAACCTGACTGAGCGCGCCCTGGAGTCACTCATAAAGCAGATGACGGCGTGTGCAGCGCATCCTGGGGTGCATCCAGACACCCTGCTGGTCTGGGGGCTGGAAGATGGCAACAGTGAGGCCCCTGGAGGCACCCACACACTCCTCCCCAATCTGTTCCCTAGGTGCTCTGCTGAGCTGAACCCCTCCTGCCACCTGCTTCACCCCAAGAACGTCCTGAACAAAATGGTCAGGCCAGTGGGATTCACTTTCTGGGGCCGACTTCCCAAAGCTCCTGACACAGGAAGCCACTGGGTGCCAGTTTACAGACCCAGGCACATGTGTTAAAGTACCCAGGGCACTTGCAGTTTATATCCGTGATATATTTTTCCATACAATCTTTTCATTCCCCTCCTCCACTTTTTTTTTTTTTTACTCCAATGGGCAAGGCCTGGGTCATTTTCCTCTTCCTTCTCTCCAAAACATTTCAATGAGTCTCACAGTCGCTTCACTAACAGACCGCCTGGTGATCATAAATCAATCCAATCAAGTGATAAGTGCCACTCATTTTAAAAACAATGTATATACATTTTTAACTGCCAAAGTCCTAAGTGGAGGCCTGAGAGTCATTCAACTGGTGGAGTTTGGGGGACCAGAACAGGAAGACACGCGGAGCACACCCATGTGTCAGAGACATCAACTTGAGCCAAACAGCAAAAATCAAGAGGTCGGTGCAGTAGGGACATGGCTCCTGCTGAAGCTGACCATTTGAGAACCAGGCCCCTTATCTTTGAGGCCAGGAGCTCAGGTCTGAGACCCCTCAGAATCCTTGGTGGACCCCACACACACCGCTTAAGCTCGGCACTTACTGACTGGACAGTAGGAGGGGCTCAAAAATATTTCTCCGAAGGTTGAAAGAATAAATATGTTGAAAAGGCACTTAGTTATCTGGGTCCGACCCTCACTACAGCACACATGTCAACAGCCCTGCCAGTGAGAGCAGCCGTTTGCAAGCCCTGCTGGGGCAGAGAGCTCACCTCACAGAGTGGCCAATTCCGTTCCACTCCATTTTCAAGAAACATCTCAAAGCGACATGAAGAATCATCTCCCTGAACTGCTAACGATTGTTCTCGAGAGCCTCATTCTGCCTGTGTCCTTGGGGGGGGGGGCTCTAGCTCGCCGTTACCCCATGGCTACCAGGCCCTGGGCAAATCTCTAGCCCTTTCTGGACCCTTACATCCTTGTGCAATAACTCAGTGCAATAAACAGCTTCTTTATTTTAGTACACAGAGGACAGCAATCTCTGCTAAGGGATTCTGAACATGTGTAAAAGCTAAGAAAGAATTCATCTTCTTCTTTGACATAAAATGATGGAAAATGCTAAAGAACGGACCATTCAGCTAACCTGGCTCTTGGGCTTCCGTTGGATATGTCCAGATCGGGGGTCTGTTTCTTAATCTATTGAGCAACATCAGGAAAGCTCTTCGCTGACCCTGGGCATAGTTCCGTTTCACCACTTGGAATCTTCCTGACGGACCTGCTCATTTTGTCTGGCACAGGCTCATCGGGTCCTGCCGTCCCGTTGAGGGTGCGGGACACCAGAGGCCCTGGAGCGGAGCTGGGCTATGCAGGACCCGGAGAAGCTCCAGGCCTTTGGAGCATGTGGCCTCTTGTCCCAGCCTCTGAGGGTCTGCACGCCTGCTGCTCTGTCCATGGGGCTTCACTGGCCAGGAAGACAGCTCAGCTCTGCATGAAAAACATGTCTCACATACTGAGAAATCATGCTTTGCCCTAGGATGGAGAACATTTCAGAGCACAGTCCACAACTTCCCAGGACCCTCTCTTCTTCATTTAGCACCTCAGGGTATCAGCCATGGTCATTTCATTTAAATGAACCCAGTGACCCAGCCTCTACCTTTCAAAGGAATCTGAGGAACCTTTCCTGCCAAGTCCCAATTGAGTCCCTGTGACATGCAGGAACGCGGGCCAGGCTCTTGTGTAGGTTAAGGAAGTCCGAGAAGAATAAAGATTTTAGGGGAACAGTCTACCTTTCTTTACAAGGTCTTGTTCTGCATCCCTGAAATCTCAGATTCAGCTCTTACAATGAAGTCCTGTTGTTGAAAGAGCTGGCCTTTTATCACCACTTAAAATCTAATTAATCCATATTGAAGCACAAAGATTTCTGTTGTATTTAGGGTGAGGGGTCATAGAGCCCTCTTTGTTCATCCTTAGACTTAGATTCATCAAGCATTGGGGATATAATTTTACCAAGCAAATTGGAAGGTAACAGATCAAATCCTTATCAGAAAGCCTAATTCATAGTTTTAACAGAGTCATTCGTCCTTTACGTGAAACATTATATTCAAGAACAAAAACGTATTTCAGAGTGCCCGAAGAGTTAATGCCCACAGCTTATACTCCGGGTAGCATAGAACCTTGGTCATCACACTACTGCCAACCACAAAGACAGCAACTCTATAGGGGTGGCGACGGTCCTAAGACCTGTTGCAATGGCTTTAGTCTTTAGAGCAGCAATGCAATTCATTGGACTTTTATTATCTTCACTGGGATGGGTTTTATCCATTATCACGACTTACTTGCCACATTGGAAGAACCTCAACCTGGACTTAAATGAAATGGAGACCTGGACCATGGGGCTCTGGCAAGCCTGCATCATCCAGGAGGAAGGTGGCAGGCAGTGCAAGGACTTTGATTCTCTCCTGGCTTTGCCTGCCGAACTCAGGATCTCCAGGATTTTAATGTTCCTGTCGAATGGGCTGGGACTCCTGGGACTGCTGGTCTCTGGCTTCGGCCTGGACTGCTTGAGAATTGGAGAGAGACAGCAGGATGTCAGGAAGCGACTGTTACTCCTGGGGGGAATCCTGTTCTGGACGGCAGGCATCACGGCCCTGGTCCCGGTCTCCTGGGTGGCACACGTGACAGTCCGGGAGTTCTGGGATGAGACCATCCCAGAGATTGTGCCCAGGTGGGAGTTTGGGGAAGCCCTCTTCCTGGGCTGGTTCGCTGGATTCTGTCTGCTCCTGGGAGGGTGTCTGCTCCACTGCACAGCCTGCTCCTCCCCAGCTCCTGCAGCTGCGGGGCCCTATGCCGCTGCAGAAAGGCGAACTCAGTGCCCATACCTGCACGATGGAATAGAGGACCCCAAAGTGTAAGGACCACAGAGATGCATCTTTATACATCTACTGTGATGTAAAGGTCTATGTGATCAAGGGGTCTTTGTTATATAATTCAATCTGTGATCACATTTTCTTATTAAATAACTACTTTTCTACTAGATTCTCCCACCCCCCAAAATTTGGAGAAGAGGCAAATCTTAGATGTACAAAAAAATTATTATGGGGAGCACTACAGAGATCAGAGCAAAAAACGTCACTGATTAGGTTATTTAAATCAAAATGTGGTGGTGGTCCAATATAATCAATATTAAGCATTAATGTGTTAATTTTATATTAGAAACTTTTTTTGTGGCTATCTGTAGGTGATAATGTTTCTGTTTCCTAAGGAAAAAAGGGGAACAATCTGAAATCTTGTAAGCCTTTTGCATTAGCAAAGGCACATGTTCAGCCTCTTGAAGAGTGTTATTTCCACTGACCGAGACAATGGCCTTGGTCTTTGAGCAGACGTGGTTTGTGTTTAGGAAATTCCCAGGTGGCCTGTGGGACAGGATTTTATGAGGCTGAAGGTTTTCAGTTCTTCAGGATACTCTCAGATTCAAATTCCTGGCCAATCTCCTCTCTCATCTCTTCCCTCAAAGCTTCATGTTTTAAAAAGAGAATTCTAAAAGTTTTTTGCCTGATATCAATACTGACAGCTCATTTGCTCTAATAAAAATTTCCCTTCATTTAATTACAAATTGCAAGCATGTGGATACACATTTTAGTGGTGAACCATACAGAGATGTTAGTTCTAACCTACAAAATCCTACCTATTGCTTAAATTTCCCAATGCACAGAAATCATCCTTCGGCAAACAAAAAACCCCAAGTATCACACACACCTGCGTGGATGAGACAGAAAGGCACAGAGGTGAACAGACTTGACGGTTAGTTCAGGGTTGTTTCCTGTTATGTGGTATATGTAGCTTAGGGGATTTAAAAAAATTCGACCTGATTTAAGGTCTGGAGATTTCTTATAAGATTGATTTGATTAGGAGATAACTTTCCTTGAAACTGTTTTTTTTTAAATGATAGCACCCAGTCTCCCCACAACATAGGCACTGAAACAGGAGAGCTACAACAGATGAAAATCTGACACATGCAGTTAGTAAGATATAAAGCGGAAGGAGTTGAACTCAAACTGTCAATAAAACAGGTTGTGCTTAGAGTTCTGAATTCTTTTGACTTGTTAGAAAGGCTGGGAACAGCAAGAAAGCCATTTATATGTTAACAATGAAAGGTTTATTACCACATAATGTTACTTCGGGGACAAGCTGTTTACTACAAAATTCAGCCCATAGAACATGAACATGATCTTGGCCACACCTCGGCATTACTGGTTTACAGAATTATTTCCCTGTCCTTTTCTGAGACCTATTCAACATGGAATCAAACAATAAGAGCTCTGGCAAGAATCCTCCTGTATACACAATGAAGAAATATTTCTGAGCTCCTAAGTGATAACCTAAGTGTCACACTGCTTCCCACAGCTCCTAAGAGGCAAGAGTTAGCTTGGCTAACGCTCGAGGGACTTTGTAATGGCTTTAGTATTCAGAACTGTGGCACAATTAGCTGGAATTTCAGTATCTTCGCTGGGATGGGTTTTATCCTGCCTCACAAACTACCTGCCACAATGGAAGAACCTCAAACTGGACTTAAATGAAATGGAGACCTGGACCATGGGGCTCTGGCAAGCCTGCATCATCCAGGAGGAAGGTGGCAGGCAGTGCAAGGACTTTGATTCTCTCCTGGCTTTGCCTGCCGAACTCAGGATCTCCAGGATTTTAATGTTCCTGTCGAATGGGCTGGGACTCCTGGGACTGCTGGTCTCTGGCTTCGGCCTGGACTGCTTGAGAATTGGAGAGAGACAGCAGGATGTCAGGAAGCGACTGTTACTCCTGGGGGGAATCCTGTTCTGGACGGCAGGCATCACGGCCCTGGTCCCGGTCTCCTGGGTGGCACACGTGACAGTCCGGGAGTTCTGGGATGAGACCATCCCAGAGATTGTGCCCAGGTGGGAGTTTGGGGAAGCCCTCTTCCTGGGCTGGTTCGCTGGATTCTGTCTGCTCCTGGGAGGGTGTCTGCTCCACTGCACAGCCTGCTCCTCCCCAGCTCCTGCAGCTGCGGGGCCCTATGCCGCTGCAGAAAGGCGCCACCACCGTCAGCACCTAGAGATGACAAACACCCACCTGAAAGTCTAAGCCGGAAGGGATCCGTGGTCTCTGCTCTTCAGGGATACTTGCTTCTCTCTGAATTTGGTAGGATTTTCTGCTACATACTCACCCATTCAGTACTTTTGATTTTCTAGATGCATTTTTCCTGTGGATATTAGCTTCTTAAACTATAATTTCTTTCTTAGATGGTAAACGACTTTTATCTTCTACTCTGAGACCCAAACCACTCAAGGCTCAATAGCAATCATGCTCATTACTGTGGATGAGTTTTCTTCACTTTAAAATAGACTTAGTGATTGCACAGAACTGGTAAATAAAACATTCTGAGTACTTACGTATCCTGAAGGTGTTATTCATAGAGATGAATCATTTTGGCAATTGGAAATGATTCTGCTAATCATTTACTTCTTTCAAGTGTTTAGGACCACCTATTATCCTGAAACTCAAGCCTCATTGGGTATTTATTTAAAATGCATGACGTCTGATTACATGAAAAAATTGCTGGCTCTTTGAAAGCTTGAGTGGGGAGAGGTATGGGACACATCACCTCCTTTTCAATCGGAACTCTCAGTGCCGGTACAGAGCCTTCTCCAAAAGTCAGCCACATTCTTTCATGCCTTCCTTTCTATGTCAGAACAGAGGAGGGCAGGCAATCTGGTGTTTTGGAAGTCACATGAAAGGCACCACAAATGTGCTGCTGCTTCTGAGTCCTGCGCTCTGCAGAGGAAGGCCAATGCGCCTGGCTGTGCCTGGCTCGCAGCAGCCAGTGTGCACTGAAGGTCAGGCCCAGAACCTTCTCGACTGCTGCTCTGGGTTGGGATGGGTGGTGATGACAGAGCTCCTGTTTGGAAGCCCTTCATTCCACACGCACGGTGGACACACTCTGTCTTTTTTAGAGTAATACTGTCTAATCAAGAACTATTCACAACAAACTGCTGGAATAGGGAATTCTTCATGAAAGATTTTAGGTTTGCTCGGCATGGTTCAAGTAAATTCTTGTGTTTTGTGCCATTCAGGGAAATTAGCTGAACAATATATGACACTGAAATAAAGTATTAGGCAACACGTGTCTTTGTTTAAAAAACAAAACAAAACGCTGAACTTTTTTTCCACCCACAAACACAAGAGAAGTGCAGAAACCAAAGTTAATCTATGTGATGTATTTGCATACTTGTACAAATTAAAACAGAAATATAGTCAGAATTTAACCTGATTAAATATTTAGTTCAGTCCTGAGCTTTTGATATTTAATACAATTATAAAGTAATAGCAAAAATTTTTAAAAAAATTTATTTGATTTGCATGCTACAGAAAGATTCAGCTAAACTTTGTTCATTCGGCTAGCAAAATTCTGTTTGTACCTGTAACACTTAGATTCTGATATACAAAACTGTAATAACATAGTGATAATTCAAACTTGAGAACTAAATATTACATTTGTTTTACCCTGTGCAGAATAAATTCTACCTTAAAAAATAGTATTTATATTAAAATTCATATTGTCCATATGGTTTTGTGATCAAGTTATTAAAATGGTTTGTCACTGTGAATCATTGGGGTTAGTACAAATATGACAGGATTGTTAAAAGCTGCCTATAAATACATAACACTATTGCTGATTTTTAAAGTGTGGAAAACGATTATATTAAAGTAATTTTGTCTTTCATATTAGAAATGAGCAAATGTTATAAAATAAAACCCAAAACATTTTGGACACAACTGTTAACGACCAGCCTGAGACAGATTTTATTCTTTTATACTTGCCTGAAACTTTTTGTATTACAAAAAGTTAACAGCTAATCTGATGAAGATTTATAAAGCTGTAAATATTCCAATATAGCCTCTTCTATGTCAAACATTTAAAATGGCCAGAACTGAACTATATATTAAACAGTACATAAATAAGACCGTAAATAAATAAATGAAGAAAATAAAATCGTACGGTACAACTACACATAATTCTATAAACATTTTTCATGGTCAAACTAAGAAGCTGAAAACAGCTGACCTTCATTTAACTCTACATTAAATAAACTTCTGTCTTTCACATTTGACCTTGACAAGGACGAATGGTGCTCTTTTTCTAGTTGTCCTTGGTCATCTAACCCATTGGGCAGCCAGGAAGGGCTGTGCCCAGTCACTCCACGAGGCTGGGTTTTCTTCAAAGCAGGGTCACATTCAGTTAGAGCTTCAAAGACATTTGTACGTAAGTGGTGGGAGACACTTAAAGAAAACATAATTAAAGTTCTAGGCTCAGAAATTGCTTGATTTGAATTTTGACTGTGGTAAAATGAACTTTCCAAAATCTGTATAATCACTTTCAAGAAAAGAAAAATTCTTGCTAATGAGGATTCTAGCTTAGGAACAGAACTTTTTTATTAAGGGGCCCATTCCTTTAAGATGATTCTTGCATTTCCAAAAAAAAATTGATTTAGTTTGCTATATTTGATGGTTAACCAAAACCTGCCTCTTCCAGTATGATGGACTAAGTAATAAGTGTGGTTTAAATCGCATAAATACTCTTTATTTTAAAAGTCTTTATGTTGGCAGGGCTATACTGGGGATGTGTTTAAGAAGTGCCTGGGTGGGGGCGGTGAGCTAAAACCCCACCATGGAGGGCACTTCAGTTCGTTTCTCTCTTACAACTCGCTCATCGAGAAAGTGTTTTTTTAAGCAAATGACAGTCTATACTTCAAATTAATAATCTCCCCAGGCACATACTTCTCTGCCTCCAACTGTCCTTACCACAGAAGAGAGACAGGATCTCCTGGAAATGGGGGCTGCAAAGTAATTCCTAGGAAAAGGGAGAAATCTGTTGAATAAGGTAATCCAAGCATTTTTTGGCCTCCCTGATTCAGTCCAGACCCCTCCCCTCTGTTCCTGTCCACCACCTGAGCAGTCATGTCTCCCCTCACGCGACCGGCGCCGCTGGTCCTTAGAACACTGGCCACTGGACCTCTGCGTGGCTCCATCCTCACACGGAGGCCAAACACCACCAGTGCAACCCATCTGACCACTTGCGCACAGCCAGGCTGGGTTCGCACCGGCCGCTGAGCCTGTGTGTGTGGTTCCCGGGCGCCCGGCTCTCTGCTTATGGTCATAAATCATGAGGCCTTCGGCAGAGCCAGGACTGCTGCTCCTTTGTGTTCTTCTATCCTTGCACTCAGCATTTGGTTTCTGTTTTCTTTAGACAAACAGAAAAGGACAAAAAGGAAATTGTTTTAAGGAAACAAAGTGTTTCCACACACGTGACGGAGTGTGTGCAGCCCCTGCCCCGCGTGGGCCTGGGACTCGGCACTGAAGCTCCGACTCAGGTTACCTGCACACTCAGAGAGCTGCTCTCCAGTACAGAATGTGCATGGCTGGCTGCCAGCTTCACACTCACCAGACAACAGAGGAAAAGCAAAAGCCACCTTCTGTGAAACTGAGTTATTTCTCTATAGTTGGTTCAACAGGATACACGCTGGGGGCTGCCCGGATTCCATTTTTACAGAATACAGCCCACCGGCAATACAGACTGTACAGTGTCTGGGTACCAGATTCTCCCAGTTGGGTCAGCTAATTTTTCTTTTTTAAACATATAAGAATTATATTTAAGGTACTTTACAAATTAACATGTTGAAGATCTGCTGTGAAAGAAAACCTCTTTAAGGGTTGGCAGTTATGTTACAAAAGATCCCTCCCACCACCCCCCAACCCAAACAAGGCCAGTGTTCAGTCTTTTGCCCTCCCTGGGAAATGAGCAGGTGAAGGGCTGACTTCCTCAGCCGTGTAATCATACGTCGTCAGCTGGCAGGGATGGGAAGCTGATCTTTGCTCTGGTGAAGTAGGCAATCTTCTCCCTAGGGTCAGGGGTGACAAATAAGCTGACTTAAGGATGATGATTCAAACACACTTCCACATTTTCTGGGAGGTCTGAGCCATTTCTGTTGATGAAACCACCACATGTTGGGTGAAGACTCCCATTTTCATCTCCCATGAGCCCTGAATCCTGGCTGTAGGATTTTATTTCTCCTTGTCCGCCGGCCATTGTCACCTGGGCTGTCCTACTGGAATTGTTTAGCTGCTCTGTCCAAAAGCACAGCTGTGTCCTCACTTCAAATCTGCTCCTCTCTCCGGGGTCCTTACCGTGCCCCACCTGGCCCACGGCATACCCCCGTCACCCTGCTGGGCTCCCCCTTTCCAGTCCCCTCCCTGGCCCTCTCCACAGGGCCTCTGTGGTCTGCCCACATCAGGTCTGACCCCACCACTCCCTGTGCTTGCTGGGGGACCTGCTGGCTCCCTTACCACCTAAAATCGCAGTTGAAAACCCTCAGCGCAGCACACCAGGCCCCGTGTGGTCTGAGCCCTACTCAGGTGGCTCTACCACACAGAGTTCGGCACTGACTTTAAGGCTCTTGGCCTCTGTCCCTGCTGGTCCCTCCCGCATTGATGCCACTGACAGGCCTACCGCCCCAAGTGTCTGGAAGGCTCGCCCCCATCCTCCCCCCTGGGGCAAACCCCGCCTCTCCTCTAATCTCTTGCTGGCTGCTGTGGACCCTAGGCATAGACTAGCCACCTCCTGTGCACTCTCTGGGTCTCAGGCCTGTGGCCAGAGCCTTCCCTGTGTGCGGCTGACCTCCCCCTATCTCTGGTTGCCAGTGCATGACTTACAGGGTATCCACGGCACGTCTGTTGAATGAGTGAACAAAACCCTGACAACACAGGACTTCTCTGTGCCTTTTTGTAGCCTGCATTGATTTCTCAGTGGGATGTGCTAACTGGGGTGTGGGGTCACTGGGGGGGTCTGGGAACCAGGCTTTCAGCAGGGCAGGACCCCAGCCAGCACGGTCAGTACCTCAGAAGGGAGCAAATAGAGCTCATCCCTTCGAGCTGAGGGTGAGGACTTGGCGTTTCAGGTCCTGACACCATTTCTGGCGGACTCAGAGAGGAATGACCTCATAGTTCAGACCAGGGGACAGCCAGCAAGTGCCCGGGTGGGCGGGCGGCTCACCTGAAGTTCTGCACCTGCCGGGGCACCTGCCGGCTCTGCTCACGGAGCCGACACACGTCCTTGGAGACCTGCCTCATCAATTTCTCCGCATTCAAGCCTTGCTTCTGCTCTTCTTTTGACTGTTCAGCCTGGTGAGGAAATAAAGACACAAAACCCTCTTAAAACACTCATTAGGAATTCCTGGAGACGTGCCATGAGGCTCCCAGGATTGCAGACAGCTCTGGAGCGGCCAGGTGTCCTGCTCACCCCAGGGACAGCGCCCCATGCCACCCTCAGGCTGACGGCAACAGTTTGAGTTTATCGCTGTGAAGAAATCGTATCACATAAGCGTATGTGGTCGTTTATCACATCTAAGCACCCTCAATAAGAGCACTGTGTCCAGGAAATATCTACTGTCAGTATTTTGGCGAATACACTTTTAACCTCTTAAAATTCACCTTTTCAACTGTTTTTTCTATCTTAGTCATTTTAAAACGTAGAATGTACAGACCATAACAGTGCATACACGTGCATAGCTCAGAGAACTTCTGCAAATCGAACACAGCCCCGCAACCAGCACCAGACAAAGAAGCATCTGCAGGCCTCAGGGCCTCCCTTCCTCCTGGCTGGGAGCACCCAGGGTGACCGGGATTCTGCCCTCTAACAGTGCAGGGAACTTAGGCCTCCTCTGTCCTGGGCAGAAATGGAACAGTCCAGCAGCTACTCTTCAGGCTCTGACTTCTTTTGTTCAACACCGTGTTATGAGAATCACACAGGCCACCACATGCAATTGTCTTCGCTTGTTCATTGCTGTTTAATATTCCACTGTGGGACTTAACCGCAGTTTATTATCTGTGCTCCTGCTGATGGATACTGGGTATTTTGCACAAGTGCTCAATGTTTTATTTTTTAAAACGAACAGATCTTAACAAATTTATTAATTAAATGTAATCAATGAATCCATTAGCTTTTAACTAAACTAAATTTAAAATCATTTAAGTTTATTATTTATGATTAAATTTACTTTCTAATTGAATCTAATTCAATTCATTGATTTTTAAGTTTAATTAAAAGTTAATGAATTTAAAAATAAAAATGGGATGATAAAAACTAGTGAAAGGTACTTTTCCGTTCCATTCGTTCATTTAACTCATGTGTTCATCCGATCAACAAATATTTGTTGACTGCCTCCTAGAGAAACGTGGTATGAGTGGTGATGGGCACAGATTCTGGTTCCGCTTGCCTGGGTTGAAATTTCACCTCTGACATTTCCTAGCTTTGTGAATCGGGGTTTCTTCTTTGTAAACTGGGAGGAAGGAGTGACTCCTAAAGTGTTTGTGAAGTTTCAGTGAGCAAATATACACAAAGTACTCGGAGCAATAGCCAACACACCATCCGCTCTACCATTTCAGTGTTTAGCTACTGCTGTTTTGACTCTAAGCCAGGTACTGTACTAGGCGCCAGGGAGACAGACGTTCCGTGGGAGAGAAAAACAGTAACAATGACTAGAAGTTGTTTAGTAATTATTAAAAAATTAATATATTGTAAATTCTTCTCTGCATTAACAAATCTTATTCCTCACTTTAAAAAAAATAGCTGTTAGTTTCAGCTTCACAGCAAGACTTAGCAGAGGTGCAGCGATTTCCCACAGACCCTCTGCCTGCACATGAACATAACCTTCTCCACTCTGAACATCCTGCACGAGAGTGTACATCTGTTACAATCAGTGAGTGTGTACGCCGACACGTCATCGTCCCCCGAAGTCCGTTGTCCACATGAGGGTTCACTCTCAGTGCTGTGTGCTGAGTTTGGACAGGTGTATAATGACATGCATTTACCATTATAACGTCCTGCAGGATGGCTTCACTGCCTATACATTCCTCCTTCCTCACTAACCCCTAGCAAACACTGATTGTTTTATTGTATCCTTAGTTTTGCCTTTTCCAGGCTGTCCTCTGCTTGGAATCATATGGCCTATGCAGCCTTTTAGGCTGGCTTCTTGTTATTTCTTAATTCATTGCTATACCCAAGGTCCTACAAGGTGCTCATGGCGCTATGATAACAGAGTACCAAATGTGGCCCTGCTTAGCATTTAGAATACTGGTGCTGGTTTGCAGTGTAGAGCAAAGTCTTTCAAGAGGGAGATCAACTCAGGCCAGAACAAAGCAGCTGGCACAAAGAGATGGACGGAACAATAGCTCTGCTGAGGGCGGCAGTCACAGCCTACACGGACGACAATCCCATCACTGGGACCCTTCTGTGCTTGAAAAGCCCGCTACTTCTGTGACCAACTTAAGCCGTTAAAAACTTTACAATGAGACAAGACTGGTTGCTGGCATAAATGGAGTGAAGGATCTTGTCTTCCCACATGCAGCCACTGTATCAGGCCGAGTTAGTGGCGAGAAAGTCGAACAGGATCTTCCTTCTGGCTTAGAAGACATGACAAAGTCAAGCTCTTTGACTGATTCACAGCCAAGCTGACAGCCCTTCTGCCACTAGGAATTCCGGCTCTGGAACACTGCTGAGACCCAAAAGGTACCCAAAATGCAGGGGAAGGTTCGTGTCCACATCGTGAGTAAATGAAAATTCGGGAAATTGACATTAGTAGAGTAATTCAGTAATTAAATATCTACTCCAGTGTATGGTTCAAAATAATGAATTACAGAAACATTTACTAATGGGGAAAGCTGTTCATCACGTATTAGTAGAATTAAAGTGGGGGAAAAAACCAAGTTTCAGAACAATGTCTTTAAGATCTTATTTTTGCGTGACCCTTCCAAATAACACTGACACCCACATGTGGCCTAAAGGAGAGCTGCAAGGACAAATACCGTGCTGTGGGGTGCAGGGGGCCCTGGGGGACACCTCTACTTACTGCTTTATACAGCTCTGCATTATTTGGATTTGTTACAATCAATGTGTGTTCATTTTAAATTGATGAATTAATTAAAAATTTTGTAAATATTCTCAAAACAAAAGTACACTAAACTCACTTTAAATTTGAAAATGAAAATGCCATGCAACTTTTAGGAAAGGTGATATTTTTCAAAAATTACGTATTTGGCAAGTACTTATGAGGAGTCAATTATACACATGCCCCTTTATGGAAAGCTACATATCCGACACAGGGCATGCCTAGCACTTGGCTGACAATAATCTACTGAAGTTATCTTCTGATTTTCTCACCGCAAACCATACTTTTCCAGATGTTTTTTTACTTCCCTTTCCTCTCCCTGTTTTGAAAGATTCTGTTTAGAAAAGTGGCCTATATTTATTTGTTCAGTAACAATTCTCTCTTGATTATTTTGAAATTGAATTTAGCCGTCACTCAGAGCTTCTGAATTTATGTAATTCAAGTTCAAAGGGACAAATGTGATTTCTTAGTTGTGAGTCTTATGTTCAGTAAATGGATGATTTTTCATTAGGTCCCAGGTAAGGATCTACTTATACAGTAAACACAACAATGACTTACCAGTTTGTGGTATAGCAAATGAGTAAATCAGTAGTTATGCTAATGTATTGCTACTATTCTAATTCTCGGTAACTTACAGCATGAATACACCAATCTCAGAATGGCCACCTGGTCACTGACTTGACAATGGACACATCAGAAAAGCCAGAAGAGGAAGGTACATGCTAGAGATCCTCAGGCAAGAAAATATGGACCAGTTTCCCCAGGAAAATACATTTTATTGGATCAGATGGACAACAGGACCCCGGGACCCTGTTCAGTGTTGGTCTCTTTTACCCCCGTGCAGCCCTGTTAACATGGTCCCTCTAAGTAGCTCAGTGGCTGCTGACAGTTTCAACTACCAGCACTTGTGTGGTGACCACGAAACGCTTTGCAACTTGCTTTGGTCTTGTGCAAAGTAAGACTGACCGTGGAACACAGGAAGAATTTTTTTTCCTTGCTGAATACGAACATACTGCACTGGAGACCACATCTGTGTCTGTATTTATATGTATTTCCATCTTTACCTATCACTATATCTTTCTCCAAAAATGTAGGTAACAGCGTATATTGTGACATTTTTATCAACTGTTAAAAGCCAAAAAATAGGAGCCAGCTTGCAGGCAGATAGATCTCCATGCTGAATTCTTCAGTGTAGTCATTAAGGTTTGTTGACTGAGGTACATTAATATCTTTAATATATAATTTTCTTAGCAGATTTGATTCTAACTTTTAAAGATGTTAACATCTGTATTATTTTAAGTTTTAAAAAAGTCTAGCATCACAGAACTTTGGCGTTTTGACAGGGAAACACTAAGGAAGAAAAAGAAATTTCTGCTTTGTAAGCAACATGAGGCTACTTTGGAAAAACACGTCTTCCCACAGCACGGCTCTGCCCTTCTCACCCGACAAGTCATGATAAGCTGCCTGGTTCATAAGGATCGGAAACCACTTTTTCTGCCCTGGATTCCAGAAGAGGGTGATTAACCTTCAGTTTACGTGACAAGAGCCCAAGCTGCAGAAAGGGCCAGTGATTTACTCGCAGCCCTGTTAAGAAGCCAAAAGGACGGAGCCGCACAATCAGCCTTAATTTACAGTCCCGTGTTTCTTGCTCTGCTCCCTAAGGGGTCGTAAAACACACGAGGACACCGACTCTGATTCTGTTTTTATTCTGAGCTACAAAACAGACCCAGCCACAAAGGAGGAAGCTTATGGAATGCGACCCTGAGCCCTGACAGCTCTCCTGACAGGGGGGCCAGTCCAGGATCTGCTGTGGTCTTCAATTAACTGCTTTGCTGGGAGCCATATTTTTTACGGCACTTGGCAGGCGCTTTGCTCATGGCTGGGCATTTTATGACCACCCTGCTGAAAACCTCGCAAATCCCGGCACTGTGGGGAAATGGTGGAAAGGAAGGGTGTGTGAGTATGCGTGGTGGTGCGTCTGCGTGCATGGAAACAAGTGGACGTCGACATGAAGAGCAAGCAGGGGAGATAAGTCAGCAGTCATTACCCTCTTCTGCGGCCGCAACGACAGGCCTGCCATGGAAACAGTCTGTTTTCCCAGAGCTGCTGTTACAAACTTCAGTGCAGGCAGAGAAAGTACGTAACTCAGTCTAGCTCCATATACAGAGCTGGTGAAGATAAAAGATAAAAAACATCTGTATTCAGGGGAATCAGATTGAGTTCAAAAGGGGCCCAGTGACCTTGTTTTGTGAGCTTTCTTTC